TGGTACGTCGCGTCCCTGGAGAGACCTTATCATACGAGTCCCTCCTTTCCGTGCATTTTGGATTCTTTCCTAGCCACCTAGTTCCTCCCACCTTCTCGCGCATTTTGGATTCCTTCGCCAAATCGCCACATGTGCGCCCGGGAGTGCGTCGCTGACGTTTCTTCGTTCGTCTCCCCGCAGTACGCGTCGTTGCTGGGAGAGTTCCTGGATGAACAGCAGATCCCCGGGCTGACGGTGTGGACGAGCCACATGAAGCGCACGATAGAGAGCGCGGTGAACATCAGCGCGCCGAAGGAGCAGTGGAAGGCACTCAACGAGATCGACGCGGTACGTGATATATGAGAGATAATATATAGATGATAATGATTATAGAGATGATAATGATGTATAGATATGAGAGAGCGGGCCGGGCGCCGCCGCCGCCACTGTTGTCCCCCTGCTGCGTCGCTCGCTGATCGAGACGTGGGTTCATGAGTTGGATGTTTGCACGCGATGCGGGGTGGTGGTGGTGAGGCTAGGTGAGCAGTGGTTCATTCATTTCACTGAGCGGTTTGACAGTCCATGGAACATTTCACGGCATGCGTAGGTATCAGGGTATTCGCCAGGAATGAGTATTGTGGGAGTGCAGAAAAAATATTTGGGAGTGCAATTTTTGGAATGTACACGGATTTAGATCAATATTTTAGGGTTAGGGTTTTTTAGGTACACATTTTTGGCCGTGCAGATTCAAAACTGACCGTGCAAATCACGGCTGCACGGCTCGCTGGCTAATACGTTGCAGCATACCACACGCTTGACGATAACCCTGGGCAGGTTAGGCAGTGTTCCTCTTTGCACGACATTTCATAGCATGCATCAAGAGAATTAGGTCTAGAGAATTAGGTCTAGAGATAATTAAGAGTGGTTACATCCAGAGGTAAGGTGTCAGCTGGGTTAGGTTTAGAGGTAGAGGTGTCAGCTGGTGGTTTAGGTTTAGAGTAAGGTATCAGCTGTGTTAAGTTTAGAGGTAAGGTAAGCTGTGGTTAAGGTTATAGAGGATAAGAGTATCAGACCTGTGGTTAAGTTAGAAAGGTAAGGTATGGCAGCTGTGGTTAGGTTTAAGGTAAGGTAATCAGCTGGTGGATTAGGATTTAAGAGTAAGAGTACCAGCTAGTGGGTTAGGTTTAAGAAGGTAAGGTACCAGCTGTATTAGGTTTAGAGGTAAAGTATACAGCTGTGGTTATGGTATTAGCAGTAAGAGTACAGCTGTGGGTTAAGTTTAGAGGTAAGGAATCAGCTGGGTTAGGTTTAGAGGTAAAGGTATCAGCTGTGGTTAGGTTTAGAGGTAAGGTATCAGCGCCCTGTGGTTTAGGTTAAGAGGTAAGGTGTCAGCTGGCGCGTTAGGTTTAGCAAGGATAAAGGTACCAGCTTGTGGTTGAGGCTTAGGAAGGTAAGGTATCAGCTGTGGTTGAGTATTAGAGGTAAGTGTGGCCAGCTGTGGTTAGGTTTAGAGGTAAGGTCATCAGCTGTGGTTAGGTTTTAGAGATAAGGTAGCAGCATGTGTTAGGATTTAGAGGTAAGTGTGGCCAGCTGTGTAGGTTAGAGGTAAGGTTATATTCAGCTGTGGTTAGGTTTAGAGGTAAGTATCAAGCCTGTGGGTTAGGATTTAGAGGTAAGGATATCAGCTGTGGTTAGGTTAGAGGTAAGGTATCACTGTGTTAGGTTTAGAGGTAAGTAATCGATCTGTGGTTAGTTTAGAGGTAAGGTACCAGCTGTGGTTAGGTTTAGAGTAAGGTACCCCCCGACGCCTCCTGGTTGGTATAGGTATTCAGCTGTGGTTAGGTTTAAGTAAGGTAGCCAGTGTGTTAGGTTTAGAGGTAAGGATCAGCTGTGGTTTGGTTTACGAGGTGAGGTATCAGCTGTGGGTTAGGATTTATGAGGTAAGTATCAGCTGTGGTTAGGTTTAGAGTAGGTATAGCTGTGTAGGTTTAGAGGTAAGAGCAGGCGTGGTTAGGTTTTAAGGTAAGTATCAGCTGTGGTTAGGTTTAGAGGTAGAGGTACACTGTGGTTAATTGAGGTGAAGGTATCAAGCTGTGGCACGTGTTCCCCCCAACCGCCCCCCGCATTCAGACCGCGGAAGGGGCCGCTCCTCCTCATTCATCAGCCGCACCACCCACAGCATCGTCCAAACCCCCACTTTTGGTGCTCGACGAACTTTTGCCAATTGAAAAAGAAATTTCAAGACGTCTCATACAAGTGTTTCACCAATAGCTTAGAATGCACCAAATTGCAGACCATTTTCCCAATTCCCGACGGGAGCATGGGAGCCGGGACGGCCCCTACCTTGGCCATCACTGCGCTGCACGCTTTGCTAGGACTCGAAACGGGCGAAACACTCAGACATTTAACACTCACCAGGAGTGTGGATAATCACTGTCCATGGTTACCTGCAGGGCGTCGGTGAAGAGATGTCTTACGAGGAATCCAGGATAAATCCGGAGGACGTTGCGGCTCGTCCGGGACATGAACAAGTTCCGCTACCCGGATAACTCCAGACCGGGAGGTAACGATGACGTAGTGTGTGATGTGGGTGTGTGTGTGTGTGTGTGTGTGTGTGTGTGTGTGTCGCGTGTGTGCGTGTGTTGTGTGTGTTCGTGCGCTGCGCGTAGCGTGAGTGCGTGCGGCAACCGTGGTGTGATGTGCGTTGTACGTGCATGTGGTGTGCGTCGTGCATCGCCCGTTTTTTGCGTAGCGGTGTGTGTGCGTGTATACGGCCATTGTGTGCGTGTGCGTGCCGTGCCACGCATGTCGTGCGTGCGTATACGTGTGTGGCACCGACGTGTGTGTTGCGCGCATCCTGCGTGCGTGCTATACGTGCGTGCGTGCGCGCCGCGGTGCGCCGTGCTCGGTGTGGTATGTGTGTGGCTGTGCATCCGCGCGCTGCCTCATATGTGTGCTGTGCGGCGCGGCATGTCGCGTGCGTCGACGTCGTTGGATAACTCCACGCGTCGCCGGTGGCCCACGGTGTGTGTAGTGCGCTCGCGTGTCGTAGTGGACTGCGTCGTGTACGTGGTTAGTGCGTGTGTGTGGTAGTGCGTGCCTGTACGTGTGATAGTGCGTCCCACCGACTGTGTGGTAGTGCGCTACGTGTACGTGATGGCTAGTCGCGTCGTGTGTGGTAGTGCTCTTGGCGTGTGTGTGGTAGTGCGCCTAAGTGTATGGTGTAGATGCGTGTGTGTGGGTGGCGCGTGTATGTGGTAGTGCGTGTGTGTGGTAGTCAGCGTGGTGACTACGTGTGATAGTGCGTGTGTGTGAGTAGTGCGTGCGGTGGTTGGTAGTGCGTCGTGTAGTGTTTGTACTGCGGTTGTGTGTGGTAGGCGTGTGTACGTGTGGTAGTGCTTGTGATGTTAGTGCGTGTGTGTGTAGTGCGTGTGGTGTAGTGCGGTGATGTGGTAGTGTGTCGTGTGTGTGTGTGTGTGCTGCGTGCTGTGTCGGTGTGGTAAGTGCGGTGGGTGTGTGGCCATGTGTCTGGACAGCGGTTGCGAACAGATCGCTCGTGTGTGTATGTGTGGTAGTGTGTGTTTGCGTGCGTGCGTGTGTGTGGTAGATGCGTGCGTGCGTGCGTGTGGTAGTGCGCTGCGTGCGTCGTGGAGTGCGTGCGGTGTGGTGGTAGTGCGTGCTGTGGTATGCGTGTGTACGTGCGTGTGTGTAGGTAGTGGTGCTGTACGTGCGTTGTGTTGTGGTAGTGCGTGTGTACGATGCGATGTGTGTGGTAGTGCGTCGTGGTACGTGCGTGATTTACCGTGTGCGTGTGTGTGGATAGTGCGTGTGGTAGTGCGTGGTGTTGTAGTCGCGTGGGTACGGTGCGTGCGTTGCGTGCGTGGCGTGCGTGTGTGTGTAAGTGGTGCGTGTTGGTAGTGCGTCGTGTACGTGCGTGCGTGTGTGTCGCCGGCCGCCATGTGCGTGCGGCGTGTGTGTGCGTTGCGTTGCGTGTGTCGTGCGTCCCGCGTGTGTGTGGATAGTGCTGTGTGTTGGTAAGTGCGTGTGTACCCGTGCGTGTCGTGTGGTAGTGCGTGTGGTAGTGCGTGCGTGCGTGTGTGTGTGTGCGTGCGTCGCTGCTGGTAGTGCTGCTCCCTGATGTAGCTGCGGCGTGTGTGTGGTAGTGCGTGCGTGTGGTAGTGTGTGCGTGCGCTGCGTAGCCGTGGTGTGGAAGTAGCTGGTGTACGTGTGTAGTGTGTGTGTGTGTTGGTGCGTGTGTACGTGTGGAGTGCGTGTGTAAGTGTGCATGTGCTGGGAAAAACGCCCGGTTTGCGGAACCGGACTCGCTTGTGTGTGTATGTGTGTAGTGCGTGTGTGTGCGTGCGTCGCGTGTGTGTGCGCTGCCGTGCGTCCGTGGTGTGTGGTAGATGCTGGCGTGTGGTAAGGCGCCGTACGTGTGCGTGCGTGTGTCTGGTATGGACCAG